CTCTCTCAAATCAATCAATAAATTTTCTTTTTAAAAAGAACTCTTCTCATATCCTCCAGTGATCTGAATGGACCTTAGAGATGCCTGGGAACTGAGAAAGAGGGAACCGGAGGAGGGAGGAGATGAAGTCTGAGTCACCAAAGCTGGTGTCTTTGAGTTTTATTGGGGAGGGGAGTCCATTGTAGTGTGGGAAGGATAGATCAATAGATCTAGTGCCTGTGAAATAAAATTCGTTATCTCACCTCTCTGGAGAAGTACAGAGCCCCCTCAGAATAGCTGGACTCAGGAAGAAGTCCATTGTCACAGTGTACCCCCCACCCCCTAACTTAGTGTCATCGGCTCTGGGACCGCTTGGGTTTGTATGGGGAACAGCCTTGGTGCGTGCAGTGCGTCCCACAGTGGTTGGCACTTGGCCCTACAGGACCCTATGAACCACCCAACCTCTGGGTTTGTCTCTTCCCAGCATGCACAGCGGGGACAAAGCTGCAGGTCCATTTGTGAGACCAGCGGGTCTGTGCGGGGACAGGGGCCTAGTCCCTAGCTTCATCTCTCGGCCAGGCTGGCCAGGATGCTAATGAGATTGTCCAGCCCCAGCAAATAGCCGTCCTCGCGGTTGCCCTCCTCCCAGGGCCTCCGATGGTCCAGGGTCTGGTCGTCAGGGAGGGGCGTGGTCTTGCCGAAGTCGATGAGCCACACACCCGCGCGATGGCTGTGATCGTGTACGAAAAGCAGGGAGCTGCCGATCACCTGCCAAAACCCACAAGGTCAGACCACGGCCCTTCTGGGGAAGCCCTCACAGACCACAGACCAGGAACCTGGCCCTCTCCGCTTACCTCATGCCTCCTAAAGAACTCAGAGACCTCCAAGGTGTCCCGGATCTGCAGCAGGCGGTTCAAATACCTCCGCTGGACAGGGTAGGGGGGAGAGGAGGGCACATTAACGAAACACTGACCGAGCTGCTGCTAACATTAGGGGTCACGACTCATGCTCTGCTTGGTAAATACCGTGGAGGAAAAACAGGCCCTCCCGTGGCGCGCAGGACAGAAGGGAAGAAACATAAAAATTACAACACAGTGTGAGAAAATGCTACGACAGGGGTCACATAGGCGAGGGCACTAGACATGGTGGCCTGGGGGCGTCCCTCGGTTTCAGGCGCAGGTGCCAGGACGCGGCACTCACCAGCACTTCCGCATCCCCTTGCACAAACTCCTGGAAGACTCGGATCACCTGCTCCCGGCTCCGCGTGGTCTTGAAGTCTGTGCTGCAGGATCCGTCGGCTTTCTTAATTAAGGAGGTGGGACAGGAAGCGTCAGGGGCCCGTACCCGCCAGAGGGGGGAGGATCATTAGAGCAGCGGTATCTCCCTGGACGCTGGAAGCCCGAGTCAGCGAGACGCCGGAGGGTGCGTATTCAGGGGGGTGGGGGTGGGGGAGGCCCTGGGAGGTTTGACACCGCGGTGTGGGTGTGGGCTGGGGTGCAGGAGCGGCGGGGCTGTGCAAAGCAAAGCGAGCCCGGCCCACCTTGATGCCCTCGATGCGGAAGCCGAGCGTGGTGCTGGAGCTGATGCCTTCCCGCCATTGCATGTAGCGCGGCTTGGTGACCGCGCGCTGCGCGTGCTCCTCCTCCGTGGGCGCCTCGGGGTCCACGGCCAGCATCTTCTTGTACATGTCCTTCCGCAGCTTGGGTCGTTCGCGGGCTTTGGTCAGCTCCTCTTCCAGGTAAGTCCTACGGAGGCGGAGGCAGCAGCGGGGCTTGAGCGGACTCACCCCAGGACCCGCCGAGCACCGCCCCGCGCCCCCGCCCGACGGTTCCCGCACGGCCAGGCAGAGCTCACGTACCTGATGCCCATCTTGCAGTCAAGCACGCAGGGCCCATCGAAGCCGTCGAGCAGGTCCTGCAACTGCAGGTAGCTCTCGCCATCGCGCTCCACCACGCCATGGAAGGCGGGCACGCAGCCGCGCAGCGCGTCGGCCATCAGCCGCGCCAGGCAGTACCGCTCCGACTCCGAGCTGCGCTTCAGGATCAGCCCGCTGGTGCCCGCCGCCTTGAAGCTCCCTGCAGACGGGCCCCAGTTAACGCTGCCTCGTCCCTCCCTCCCCGGTACGCACCCACCCTCCCCACCCGCGCCCGCCCGTGCTCACCCGTGTGCCCGGCCAGCTGCACCCAGGCGTAGCGCTTCTTGAAAGGGCTGATGACGGGCATGTTCACCATGGTCCGGATCTTCTGCCAGTGGCTTTTCTGAAAGCAACACGGTCGGAGCCCGCAGGTCCAGCATCTCATCCATGCATCAGCCCTCCCTCCTCAGGACGGGGGCTCGGCCAGCCCGCCCCACCGCAAGCAGCTAGGGTCCCCTGATTCATTCATTTGTTCACTCAGGAAACTTTATTGTGCGCCTTCGTGGTGGACATTGAGACACACAGGGTGGTGACAGGTATCCAGCTTCTCAAAGGTGCTGAAAAGAGCCCTGGACTTAGCGTCAGAAGGCTCAGGTCTGAACTACAGTTCTGCCGCTCAAAAGCTGAACTTTGGGGCAGGTTATTAAACTTCTCTGTCGTAGGTTTTTGTGAGCGTGAGAATCAACTGATGACCACCCTTGTTAAAAAAATGCAGGTTCTTGGGTTTACCACAGGGAAATTCTAAGTTTGGGGTAGGACCAAAAACTTGCATGTCTACCAATGTCTCAGGATATTTGGGGGCCTGAGAAACAAGCCTTCGAGCATCAGCTTCTTCATCTGTAAAATGGGGAAATGGCTGCTCTCACTGTGTTGTGAGTAGTAAATGAGGCTTGAAAGTGACAGGCTCTTTCTCCCCTGACCTCATTTCTTGGCATGAAGTAGAAGCTGGACAAATATGGATTGTTTTTAAAAATATATTTTTATTGATTTCAGAGAAGAAGGGAGAGGGAGAGATGGAAACATTAATGAGGAAAATCATTGATCCGCTGCCTCCTGCGCGCCCCCTACTGGGGATGAAGCCCGCAATCCAGGCATGTGACCTGGTTCATAGGTTGATGCTCAAACGCTGAGCTGGACTGGATTGCTTTTTATTTTATTTTTTTAAAATATATTTTATTGATTTTTTACAGAGAGGAAGGGAGAGAGATAGAGAGTTAGAAACATCGATGAGAGAGAAACATCGATCAGCCGCCTCCTGCACATCTCCTACTGGGGATGTGCCCGCAACCCAGGTACATGCCCTTGACCAGAATCGAACCTGGGACCTTTCAGTCCGAAGGCCGACGCTCTATCCACTGAGCCAAACCGGTTTCGGCTGGATTGCTTTTTAAACTTATTTTGAGAATATGTTTATGAAAGCTGGGGACAGTGAAACAAGGAAGGGCCTAGGATAGCTAGAAGGAGCAACAGGAAAGAGGCTGCCTTGGTTCACTAGAAATGTTATGGCGAAAAAGTGAGCCGAGATGGGGCTGCTATCAGCTCACTTGAGAGTCAGAGAGAAGGGCACCTTGGGGACAGGTTCAGGGCATTAGTCCCTGGTGAGATGCTGCTGCCCATTGCTCCCCTGGTTGCGAGTCTCATGGGTCCTTAGAGTTTAGGAGACACACGCTGCCTGTGGGGGAAGCAGAGGGGGAAGGAGAGAGCATGCCCCAAATATGGATTGTTGATTCATTCACTTTGGGACCATAGGTTCCTCCCATTTAGGGAGACAATCACAGAAACAAATCTTGACAAAGGCCCAGGGCAGGAGGCTAGCCTGGCTGGGTCTGAAGAAATAATGGCTTGAGGTTTCCCCAAATCATCTGCTATCCCTGGATGCCATATCGCTCCTCACCAGTTAGCAAGACCCAAGGCTTTGAAAATGCAATACAGAGCTGAGGGTCTGTTATCTTCGATGAAACTGAGAGGGAAATGTGGGTTTTGATGAACCTCCTGCCTCATGACCACTGCTTCTGGCCTCCACCCAATCCTGAGACAGTCTCATACTCTGGACCTTTCCTCTTCCCACCAAAACCCATCATTCCTATGTCAACGGGTTTGTAGCGCACAGGTTTGCTCATCCAAACTGCATGTCTGCTGCCTCCTCCCAGGGGTGCCTGCTTTTAGAGGAGTTACACATGTGTGCTCCCACAGGGCTGGAACCCAGGAATCCAGCCTCCTTGACTAGAGGGAGTTCTCAGAGGGAGAGGGAGAACTGGGGTAGTGGTCTAAGTAGGGGAAGGCTGCTCACCATTAGGCCCTTTCCCATGTGGAGGAGATGGGGTTAGTGACAGAGCACTGGATGGGGAGTCAGGAGTTGGTTCCAGTCCTGGCTCTGTCATGTTCTAGCTGAGTGAATCCAAGCGAGAACTTCATCTGTGTGAGCCTGTTTCCTCTGGGAAGACATAGCTGCTGCCATAACACAAGCCACCATGTACTGACCGCCTACTGTATGCCAGGCACTTCTCAGCCTCCACAAGACAGCATTGCTACTGCTTTCCTACTGCAGTCCCTACATGGCACACCGGGGTGTGATCACGTGTCCAATCTCCGGGGATCTAGGGGTGTAGCCAGGAGCAACCCACTAGAAGCATGACAGCTCTTTCAAAACTCCTTATTCACTCTTTAAATACCTACAAGGCTTGCATTATGCTGCATAACAATCCAAGTTTTATTATAAACTCTCCCACCTCCAACTCTTCAAATAAAATTCCGGGAAGATGTATGTGCCATGTGTATTCAGCGGCACCACCCTATACCCTCTTCTCCCACTCTCAGTTTGAGAATCATGATAATGATGCACAGGGACAGCAAGTGCATGAGGTGGTGGCATTATTGCTATTTTATAGGGAGAAATCGAGGCTCAAAGAGTTAGCATGCCCTCACTTCCTGCCTCCAGCCGCCCAGCCCCTGGTTCAAGCTATCTACCAGCCCAACCCCCTCCCTATGTTCCAACTGACCCAGCTGGTTCCAAAGTCCATGCTACCACCCCGATTTCTTTTGGGGAAAATGGGACCTCCACACTAGAAAGAGCTGTGTACTAGGTGATATGCTGTGTACTAGGTGAAGCAATTTGCAACCACAAAGTGGTGTGTTTTGGGAAAACACTGAGATCTGCCTGGAGACCCCTCTCTGTTGGCAGGATACCTTTGCCTTCATCCAAAGGAATGAGGTTAATTGTGGGATTGAGGTAGCTTTAGGGGCCTACTGGCAGACTGTGGGGGACAGTGGGACCAGAATGGAGTTAATCAGAGGGTACAACTATTTCTGTAGCCACCCCAGTAGAAGAGGGAATCAGCCTTGGGTCAAATGAGATGGGAGAACTGCATTATTCTTTCTTCTGGGATCATGTGGGAGCAGTGAGTGGGGCTGAAGATAGACAGAGGTAGACCTGGTAGAAGAGGATTTAGCACCTGCAGTCCAGGACTACTGCCACTTGATTGATATGTGATGACACAGCATCAACTTGCTCCCAAGATGATGTAAAATTGGGGCATCATCTACCCTTACCACCACAATTTTGAGAGAATCATGTCAACTGAGAGCAGCAAAGACAAAGGCTGGTTCTAGCCATGCAGGTTACAAAGGGCTTTAATACCTATTATGTCATCTGAGCCCTCCCAGCCACCTCCTGAGGTGGTATGACAGGATTTAGCTCCCCTGCCACTAATGGATATGTTCAAACATGGAAGGAGTTGATACAAGTGTCATGGAACTCACTGCCGTTTTCCATCTTAAGGAGCTACCTGGTACCTCCCCCAGGACATAATGCATATAAAGATGCATATGTCCACCCTGGCCAGGTGGTTCAGTTGGTTGTAGCGTCATCCCATACACCAAAAGGTTGCGAGTTTGATCCCCAGTCAGGGTACATACAGGAGGCAGCCTGTCAGTGTTTCTTTCTCACATCCATGTTCCTCTCTCTCTCTCTCTCTCTCTCTCAAACTCAATAAAAACATATCCTGCCCTGCTGGCATGGCTCAGTGGTTGAACGTGAACATATGAACCAGGAGGTCACAGGTTTGACTCCCAGTCAGGGCACATGCCAGTTTATGGGCTTGAGCCCCAGTGGGGGGCATGCAGGAGGCAGCCAATCAATGGTTCTCTCTCATCATTGATGTTTCTATCTCTCCCTTTCCCTTCCTCTCTGAAATCAATAAAAAAAATTTTTTAAAAGATGCATGTGAAACATTCCTTGGTGGGTGGGTGATGATTTGGGCACATGAACAGCAGCAGGGGAGATATTTTTTAGCAGGGTAGGCTTTTATTGTATGTGTCTCAGAAAGCAGATTTATTATGTTACAAAGTGAAATCTACTTGAAAAGAGGGCCAAAGCACCATCCTCTGGCCCAGCCTACTCCCCACAGAAGACTGGGAAACCAACTCATCTTGGGGCAAAAGGCCCATGAGAGCTGACCCGTGTGTCTTTAACGAAGTCACAGGAGGACCCTCTGACAATTCCTCACTCCTGGGGCTGGACTAGGAGCATCTCTCTCTGGGCAGGGCTTTGCTAGACACAAGCCTCTAACGGGCCTTGATCTAAGCTCTATTTGGAAGCCGGGAGGACTCCTGCTTCTGTATCACATCAGGTACTCAGTGTGCCTGCTGCCAGAACGGACCCTTTGCCTTTGGTACTCATCCCCACACTCCCTGCCGCCAGCCCTTCAGTCATTGGCTGCAGCTCTCTACCAGCCCAACCCCCTCCCCATGTTGCCACTGCCCTATCAAACTAGCACTCCCTGTGGTGGTGGTAATGGTGGTGGTGGTGAAAGCAATCAGTTTAAATTTATAAAATCATTTGCACGAAGGTATAAGTGACCCACGACTTCACCTTCCCCAGGGCATTTACTTTATAAAAAGGAAGTCAGTTAACCTAAATTCTGCTCTATAATTAGTGAAAAGTGAAGTGTGGGAGTTCTGAGTCCAGGACAGGATGGCATCCAGGTCTCCTTACCCATCCTGGAGCACTGAGAGAAGAGAAAGAAGTGAACAGAAGCCAAACATCCTCTCTTCTGCTAGAGCAACACCCCACGATTGTCTTAAGAGGCAGGGAAGGCCTAAGAATACAGACACTCATGCCAGCTGTCCTTGGGGACAGGCCGTGAAGTGTGGGAGTTCTGAGTCCAGGACAGGATGGCATCCAGGTCTCCTTACCCATCCTGGAGCACTGAGAGAAGAGAAAGAAGTGAACAGAAGCCAAACATCCTCTCTTCTGCTAGAGCAACACCCCACGATTGTCTTAAGAGGCAGGGAAGGCCTAAGAATACAGACACTCATGCCAGCTGTCCTTGGGGACAGGCCCCTAACACCCCCCCCCCCCTTTTCCCTCGCCTGTGTAGGTTTCCCTGCCCATGACTTTTCCCTATACAAGAGGAAAGGCCCGGGGAGGGAGGGAGGAAGGGCTGTCCAGCCCCAACTACCCTGCGGGGAGCAAGGCTCCAGGCTCTTGGGGGCTCCTAGGAGGAGAAGGGGAAGGACGCGTGTGCCAGGCAGAGCCAAGGTGGAGTCTTCGCAGGCCTCCTGCTCTGGCTACTCCGGTTATCTGCCCAGGCCTGAGTGCCCGGGGCTGGCGCCCGGGAGCCGGGGAGGGAGGGAGGAAGGGCTGTCCAGCCCCAACTACCCTGCGGGGAGCAAGGCTCCAGGCTCTTGGGGGCTCCTAGGAGGAGAAGGGGAAGGACGCGTGTGCCAGGCAGAGCCAAGGTGGAGTCTTCGCAGGCCTCCTGCTCTGGCTACTCCGGTTATCTGCCCAGGCCTGAGTGCCCGGGGCTGGCGCCCGGGAGCTCCTCGGCGCTGCCACAGCGCCCTTTCCCAGGTGCATCCTGAAGGCCAGCCAGCTCCTGGGCTCTGCTTCCTGCCCTGGGAAGCCC